GTATTCACCATTGTGGTGTCATATAGAGTTGTTTCACTGCCCTCATCCCTCCTTCCCCTCTCGCCACTGACAACCCCTGATCTTTTCACCATCTCTGCAGTTTTGCTTTTTCCAGAATGTCATACAGGTGGAATACTACAGTCTGTAGCCTTTTCAGATTGGTTTCTTTGACTTAGTAATATGCGTTTAAGTTTCCTCCATGTCTTTTCGTGGCTTGATATCTCATTTATTTATACTGCTGAATAGCTTTCCACTGTTTAGATGTATCACAGTCTATCCATTCACCTACTGAAGAACATCTTGGTTGCTTTGAACTTTTAACAATTATGAATAAAGCTGCTATAAACATTCCTATGCAGTCTTCTTTGCCCATTTTTAAATTCAGTTGTCTTTTTATTATTGAGTTGTGGATATTTTTTATGTATCCTAGATACAAGACTCATCAGATACATGATTTACAAACATTTTCTCCCATTCTTTGGGTTGTCTTTCACTTTCTTGATGGTATCCTTCGAAGTACAAGTTTTTCATTTTGATGTCCAGTTCATATATTTTTGTTGGTGGTGCTTGTGCTTTTGATGTCATATTAAATAAATCTTTGCCTAATCCAAAGTCATGAAAATGTATACCTATGTTTTCTTTTAAGTATTCTATAGTTTTAGGCTAGGTGCGGTGGCTCATGCCTGTAATCCCAGCACTTTGGGACGCCAAGGAGGGTGGATTGCTTGAGCCTAGGAGTTCGAGACCAGCCTGGGAAACATTTTTGTATTTTTTGTAAAGATGACATCTCTACAAAAAATACAAAAATTAGCTTGGCACAGTGGCATGCACTTGTAGTCCCACCTACTCAAGAGGCTGAGGCAGGAGGATCACTTGAGCCCAGGAGGTCGAGGCTGTAGTGAGCCACGATCGCACCACTGCACTCCAGCGTGGGCAATACAAAAAAACAAAAACAAAATGAGTTTTATAGTTTTAGGTCTTGCATTTAGGTCTTTGATCAATTTTAAATTAACATTTGTACACGATGTAATGTCTTTATCTTTTTACAGATATATGCAGGCTAAATAATTTAGAGGTGAATATATAACATCTGTAATTTACTTTAAAATACTTCAGATAAAAACAGATAAAGCAAACATGGGAAAATTTTGACAGCTACAAAATCTAGGCGGTGGGTATATGGTTGTTCATTATATTTTCATCTTTGATTTTGAATTTTTCTTTAAATAATGGAAGTAAAGTTAAGAAATCAAAATCAGAAAAAATACTTATGAGTGAAAATGTCGTTAATAGAGAATTAAAATTAAATCCATTTTAACTTATTTTTAAATTGTTTATAAATGTTAGCATTTTATAATAAGTTATAAATTCTTTGCCAAACCCCTAATAAAAACACACAAGAAAATGGTTGTGTCAGAGTGCCTTGGCATTGCTCTTGGGAACTAACGTTCTAGAACTTCTTGTTCTAATACAGCAACTATCAGCCACATGTGGCTGATGAGCACTTCAGATATGACAAGTCCAAATTAAGATGTGCTCTAAGTGCAAAATCTGTATTGGATTTTGAAGACTCGGTACAAAAAAAATGCAAAATAGCCCATTAATATGTTTTATGTTGATTTCATATTGGAATGATAATATTTTGGATATTGGATTAAATAAAGTGTATTACTAAAATTACCTTCACTTGTTTCTTTATATTCTTTTAAAATACAGCTACTAAAATGGAAATTACATATGTGGCTTGCATTATATTTCTTTAGAAAAAGTTTAAAAATTTTTCATAGAAACATATAGGAAACAATCATTACATTTCTTTTGAACATTACCATCTAGAGAGAAAAGGACTGGGCTAGAAGATCCACATTCTAATTCCCTTGCTGCTTTCAACTAGCCATGTGACTTTGGGCCATTTCTTCCATTTCTCAGCCCTAAAATAGTCAGGGATAAATTCACTCAGCAAATACTTAGAGTTCTTACTATATACAAAGAACTTGGCTAGATGATGTGGAAAACAGAAGATGTGAAACTGTTCATAAATCCAAATAACTGTTTTTCCATTTATCCCTATCCATGAGTCAATGAAGATAAAAATCAACAAGGGAAAATATCTCATCATTTTTATTTTTTCCACTAACATTTTATCTTAAAATAATGTATATTTTATAAAGGATCTGAGACCTGGATCACATATGCACAGAGTGTATGTTCTTTTTCTCTTCTAAGTCTTGGGTCTTTGAACATGTTTTCCATTTTTCCAGAGGCTCCCCAATTTCAAATGTTGTTCAAGAAGTGTACTATGGTAGACAGTTGGTGGACAGTACTCATGCCCTTCTGTTGTCCCATACCCATGGCTGGTCTTGGCCATGTAACTTGCTTTGGTCAATGAGACATTAGCAAGCAAGATAAAAGCAGAGGCTTGATAAGCACTTGCTCACTGAGACTCATCTTCTTGGAACACTCCTTGGAACCTTGCAGCCATGCCGTAAGGAAACCCAAGCAACCATGAGGAAAGGCCCACATGGAGAAGAAAAGGCCAGGGGTTCATTCAGACTAGTGATTCTCAACCTGTGGCGATTTTGCCCCTTGTGGGGCATTTGACCATGCCTAGGGACACTTGATTGTCGCAGTGGTGGATAGGTGCCACTGGCATCTAGTAGGTAGAGGTGAGGGACGCTGCTAAACATCCTGCAATGCACAGGACAGCCCCGCAACAAAGAATGACCCAGCCTAAATATCAGCTGTGCTGAGGTTCAGAAACCAGAAACGTTTCTGAACCTAGACAAACGTTTCCCACAACCTGGCTCCTATGGATCAAGGATAAAGGCACTTGGGAGAGAAAGTGTTCACACAAGTAAAATCATCTGTAGCTGCTCTTTTAAACTTGTACATTTACAAGTGACAGCTTCCTGAACAGTCTGTGACTTGTGATTTTTCAGTGATTCCTATTAGTATTCTCATCAACACCAATGGCACATTTCACCTTGTTTACATTTAGCATTTAAGCAGAGTAACTCATCAGACTATCGAGCCAACAATCATTGTGTTAGTTGCACCAATCCAGATATTGTTTCTCCTTGGTGCTGTCAAGGCCGTGGTTTGCCACAATTCAATCTGAGCTTCCAAATCCCCAGCCATTAACCCACCCAAAGAGCGGGGGCTTTAACTTTTACTGTTTGATAGTCCATCAGCTTTGGTTCTATGTTAGCAAAGAACTACAGCCCCATCATGCTAAGAGGATGCCACTTTCCCTTTGAGAAAAGTATGTATATATTTAGAGGAATACATTATTAGTCAATTTTATCTATGAGAAAAATTTTAAAGACATAAAAATTATAGTAATTTGCTCATAGTAAATTTTATTAGAAGAGTCTAAATATAGCTACATTAGCAGACTCACTCAATAAAAATTTTAAACATAGCAGTCCAGTATAAATCTCACAGCTATGGTAATTAACTGTGAAATACATAGAAAATAAACCATTGCAGATAGGGTATTTTGTTTGTTTTGTTATATAATAGGGCATATACACATCTCTAGGAGGAATGAAAAAGGGCCAGAAGTGCTGCTAAAATTGGCAGTTTGAATAACTTTTTGATAGGCTGGCAGTTACAAGAAACACTTGATGTGCAAGGTAATCTCCCTGCAAAGTACAAGGACCTAGATGAAAAATCCCAGTGATATGAATTATCCCAGTAATCTCCCAAACCTCAATAACATGGAGTCTGATTAGAGCAGGCTACAACCCAATTGCAAGTGGGCTTTGCTGTTGATGGAGAGCCAATTCTTGGCAAACATTAGTAAAACCAAGCCATTTATCTACCCGGTTGAATCGGCCTTTGTTGAGGAGTGTGAAACTGTGACCAGCATCACCAACCAGCCTCCATAGGCAGGGACTGCTTTCCTTTCTCCTACACTTGGTTTGTGCTCTGAAGTTGGCTCTGGTACTGCATTGGCTTCTTGAGAAAAGCTTTTTTGCTGGTTTCTAGCAGGAAGGAGGGGAAGGAGGCCCTGACTCCAGGGATGTGGAGGGACTGAGCGGGACTGTCTGGGGAGATCTGTGTTCCTGGGATCAGGCCCTTGAGCATCCAACAGGTAGAAGGTTGTGAAGTGGCCCAAGGACCACCACATCTACCGAAAAATGGTGAATCTGGGGGACTTGGTTTGATCCAGTGAGCCACCAAGAGCAACATTTCCCCTCAGCCTGTGATCAGGACTCACATGGTGGCTGGATTTTTCAAGGACACATGGTACGGGGGCAACTCTGTAGTTCAGGGTTCATCAAATTTTAACTATAAAGGACCACATGGCCAATATTTTACGTTTTGCAGACCAAGAAACAAAAGGAAAGGTATTAGGTAGGAACTTACATAACAAGAGAGAAACATTTTTCATAATGTTTTTATTGGCATAATCCAAAATACAATAATATTTAAGTGCAATTATTTGTAACCCACATCTATTAATGAGAGAAAAGGAATTCTTTCGCTGGAGTGGGGGGATATTTCTCTTAATTGGAGTTCAAAGGTGGTTTCTGCTATCATCACAAGTGCAAATGTTCATGTATGAAAGCCATGCTTAGCTCTCTGTACGAACACTGTCTGGCGATCTGGCCCATAGGCTATAGTTTGCTGACCCTTGGCATAGTTGAACACCAGTCGCCCACACTGGATTTGCGGTGTTCCGGGGCGGGAAGTCGCTCCGGGCTGAGAAGCACCTCGAGGCATCTACCGGTCCGGAACTCTCCCTTTGTGCCCAGCTAACCACGGTTCGTTGGCTCTCTCCGCAAGGCAGGTCTGGAAGGTCAAGAACGAGGCTCGGGGCTCTCTCGCGGAGCAAGGACGCCTTCGGGCTTCAGGACCACCCACGGCGTCCCAAACAGCTTCCCGGGCGGTGCTCCCGCCCCTCTGGCACTTTCCAGCTCCCCCTCCAAGGCCGCTCTTCCTCCCTCTCAGCCCCCTCCAGCTCCTCCTCCGGCTCCTCCCCCTCCGCTCCTCCCCTTCCCTACATCTAGCCGCCGCGCTTTCCCGCTCCCGCAGCAGCAGCCGTCCGCGTCGCTGTTGCCTCCGCCACCTCCTCCGCCACCGCGCGCCCCTTGGAGTCCTGCGCCCCACCATGCCCAATATCGTGCTGTTTAGCGGCAGTTCGCACCAGGACCTGTCCCAGCGCGTGGCGGATCGCCGGGGCCTGGAGCTGGGCAAAGTGGTCACCAAGAAGTTCAGCAACCAGGAGACCAGGTGGGGCCGCGCCGGCGGCCGGGCTGGGAAGAGCTCTGGGCACGCGGCTGTGGGGCCGGGTTGCGAACCAGCGGCTGCCCGGGCCACCTCCGCGGCCGCCGCGTTCCCCCTTCCGGGGCGGGACGGTGGCAACGCGGCCTCCGCGCCCTCGCGCCCGCGCCTGCGAAGAAGCCGAAGTGGGGCGCCGCGCGTCTGGGTGCCCGTCCCGGCTCTGCCCCCGGCGGCAGGGCCTTCGGTTCTGGGACCGCGGCGACCCGGCGGTCCCGAGGCGCGCCCGGCCTCCCAGCGGCGCCGCTCGGCCTGGCGTCCCCAGCCCGGAAGGGAGACGTCTGGGCGGTCACAGACCGTCGGGGAGAGAGTGGGCGCAGCGGGCGGGAACCGCATCGGGGCAGCGCGCGGTGAGGGGACGTTCTGGGTTGGCTGGTCCCGGTTTCCGCGTCCCTGCAAGGCTGAACCCAGACCAGTGCGTGCGATGAAAGGTTCACCCCCGTCCCCAACTCTGGTTGCAGACTGGGTTTACCTGGGGACGGTTCGAACGCTGCTTCCCCCACCTGCCCCCAAAGGGTTTGATCGAACGGGCGGGAGATCAGCGTTTTTACAGCTTCCCAGGTAAGTCTCCTGAGCAGCCCGGACGCAGACCTCTGCGTTATCCAGAGGGTGGAGTTGTGCCACGCTTTGAAAGACTGTGAGAATCCCAGGGCTCACATGGTGAGCTCCCCTCTGCTTCCACTACTCTTGCTGCTTCAAAGACGATGGACTTTCAGCTTCCTTCTGGTTCTGGTAACTCTGCTGTGTCAAACAGCGACGCCGTGATTCGCCTGTAACTGCCACCCATTTCTCAAGTCCAGGAGAAGTGGTCGCTTCTGCCTGTGGATCACGTGGTGGCCATCCTTGGAAGCTGACCTAGGGGGCTCCTTTGTCCACCTGCCTGAGTCCACACAGCTCCTTGACTCATTTCAAGTTGGTCTCATTTTTCCCCCTTCCTCCAATGTCTAGTACAGTTAACTGTCCACAGTTACTGATAATTTTTATATCTTTGGCAAAGATCCAATTCAACCAACATTTTCTCGAAATGGTGCTGGAACAGTTGAACAGCCATATGCCAAAAACTATGAACTTCCATCCATCCTTTTCACCATTTGCAAAAATTAACTTTGGACTATAGACCTAAATGTAAAATCTAGAACTATAAAATCTCTAGGAGAAAATCCTGATGACTTGGGGTTTGGCAAAAATTTCTTAATGAGGAGTTATGTTAATACTGATGGGGAAGATACTGTTTTGTTTTGTTTTTGTTTTTGTTTTTGTTTTTTTGGCAAGTCAGCTTTTTAGGATATGTGAATCTTACGTGACTTCTTCCAGGTGGCAAATTCCAGTTATGGCTCCGATGATACTATAAGTAAAGAAACATTGTGAATGAGTAGCAGGTGGACTTTGGCTAAAGAATTCCACTGTGCAGTGTTTAATACAGAAGTCTGAGGGGATGGTCTAGGGCTCTGGAGAAGGATAGAACCAGGTTTGAATGTTGCAATATTTTGCCAGTCTTGTTCAAGTTTCAGTCCCTTTAAGAACACGAGAAGAAGAATAGTTTTTGTTCAGAAGGTGTTGTCATATAAGTAAAGGAGAAATTTATTGATGAAGTAAATTTTGAAAGCAAGTATGTTGCCCTTCCATGTACCCAGTGCAGCACGAACTTTTGCTAAGGAGTATGGTTAATCTAGATCAGTTCACTGCTAAGTCAGTGTTGAGTTTCCCCTAAAAATACTGCATATGCCATTGGGCAAAGCTCACTCAGACATTGAAGTATGATTGTTTATACATTTGTTTCAAATATAAAGCAGACTCACTTTTATTTTGTTTGGGGATTTTATAACCATCACTTGATAATTAGAAATCGTGGGGCCTCAAAAACCACTCAGCATGAAGTTTGGGAATTGTCTATATGGCTACATTTTATGTTTTTAATATATAGAATATAAATGGTTAACTGCCTGACTTTTCTCTTTTCCATGAACTGTACAAGTACAGAGTTTAACGTTTATAAACAGCCCTCTCTGGACCAGGTAACGTGCTAGGAATACAGCTTTTAACTGTGATTGAAGAGAGGAGAAACTAAAAGGCAAAAGGAAGATAAAATTGGTTCAGTTCATGTAAGGGCCCCTTGAATCTCTCACTGAGCTAGGATTAGAAATCTGGTTTGTTGTCTGCTAGCCATCAATCCTCCCATTTAGCATTTTTTATACGCTACTTAACTGAACATAGAGCCTTCTAATTTTACCTTCTCATCCCTAAATCATTTCAGATATGCAGGGAGAGGTCTGCTTCAACTTCACCATAGACCATAGAAATTCCAGGATGACATCTTAGGACAGCAGGTGTCTAGAAGTCTCTGTTATAACATTTTACCCTGGTCAGTTAACCTGCTGGCAGAATCTTTAGCTATACTGTGAGACAAGGTTGTACAAAGTTATACAAGGTTATCAGTTACCAGGTAATAAATCAGCCCATAGCTTAATGGCTTAAAACAGTAATTGTTGATTTGGCTTACAAATCTGCAATTTGGGAAGGGCTCAGTGAAGAAAGCTTGTTTTTGCCCCATATGGTCACAGATGATGTGGCTAACTGGGGCTGGAGGGTTCTTGAGGATGGCTCACATCACTGATAAGTTGCTACTAGCTTTTGCCTGGGAGCTTAGTTAGGAACCTCGGCTCCTCTTCCTGTAGACCTCTCCATGGGGCTGCTTGAGCTTCCTTACAATATGGAAACTGGGTTCTAAGAATGAATGTTCCAAAAGACAGGACATGGAAGTCACCAGTCCATTAAGGACTGGCTTGAAAGTTGCTGTCATAATTTCTGTTATATTCTGTTGGGCAAGTACAGAGCCCTCCCAAATTCAAGGGCAGGAGACTAGACCCTGCTCCTTGATGGGAAAAGTGTTAGAGCCTGTGGTTCTCTTTTAGTTACCATGCCTGTTTATTGTTGAGTCAGTGACACTCTTCAGCTTTTTTATGTAGGGGTCAATAAAGATCCTCTGGTGGAATAGCAAATGGATGCTGCCTTCTAGCCACAATTTTTAAAAGACCTAGAATAAAGATAGTCATGATCATCTTTTTGAGTAGAAGCAGGACTAGCTTTAGGGGAAAAGTTGCCATGGTGATGATATTCTCTGTCCTCCTCTGGACTGCTGGAGGTTCTTGAGGAAAAACAGGCCAAAGAATCTAATCTTGTTGGATAAACGTCATAATACCAGGAGTTGGCAACGTTTTTCTGTAAAGGGCCAGATCGTAAATATTTTAGGCAGTGCTAGCACGTGTAGTCTCTGTTGCTGCTTTATCTTACAGTTCTGTAAGTTACAATAATGTTTGTCGCAGGTTAGCTGGGCTGCATTCTCTTCTGAGGCTCTAGGAGAGAATCTGTTCCCGTGCCTTTTCCAGTTTCTAGAAGCAGCTCACATTCCTTCACTTTTGGCCTCTTCTACCTTCAATGTCAGCAATAAAATGTTGCTCTGACCCTGCTTCTGCTGTCTCCCTCTTGGATTTTTAAGGGCCCCGTGATTACACTGGACCAATTTAAATAATCCAGAATGTTAAGGTCAGCTGATGAGCAACCTGAATTCCATCTGCAAACTTACTTCTTCTTTGCCATATAAACTCACATATTCAAAGGATTAGGATGTAGACATCTTTAGGGGGCCATTATTCTGCCTACCACACCATTCTTAACTCACAGGCCATAGAAAAACAGCCTGTGTGCTATGTTTTGTCGACCTCTGAGCTATATAATACTGTACTTAATTTCTGCTGTAGTTCATTTTGTGCTGCTATAACAATATACTGGCGACTGGCTAATTTATAGAAAAACAGAATTTATCATAGGTCTAGAGTTTGGGAAGTCCAAGATTGAGGGGCTGGCATCTGGCAAGGTCCTTCTTGCTGTGTCATCCCATGACAGAATGGTGGAAGAGCAAGACAGCACCGTTGAGAGAAAACAAGAGGGGCCAAACTTGCAAATAAACCCATTCTTAAGATAATGAACACGCTCTCGCAATGATGACGTTAATCCATTCATGAGGACACAGCCCTTATGACCTAATCACCTCTTAAATGTCTCACCTCTCAATACTCGTGTACTGGGGATTAAGCTTTCAACACATGAATGTTGGAGAACACATTTAAACCATAGCAATTTCCAAATTAAGTTTATCCCATAGTTGATGTAATGTTCACAAAGCAGTTATATTTAGTTCCCTAGATCGTGAAATAGGAGAGAGCACATAGAACTCTTTCCCCTTCATCCTGTGAGATTGGCATATTTTCATCCATATTAGAAGGCATGCAAGAAGATGTGTGAATGTTATCAAAACTAATTTTCACAACATGTCAACTTGAAAGACTTTAATGTTCCTTTAAAATTTTTAGAGATGGAGTCTCGCTATGTTGCCCAGGCTGGATCGAACTCCTGGGCTCAAACAATCCTCCTGCCTCAGCTTCCCAAGTAGCTGGGACTATGGGCATGAGCCACCATGCCCAGCTTGTTCCTGTTGTTGCCCAGGCTGGAGTGCAATGGTGCGATCTTGGCTCATCGCAACCTTTGCTTCATCACAACCTTTGCCTCCTGGGTTCAAGCGATTCTCCTGCATCAGCCTCCCAAGTAGCTGGGATTACAGGTATGTGCCACCATGCCTGGCTAATTTTGTATTTTTTAGTAGAGACGGAATTTCTCCATGTTGGTCAGGCTGGTCTCGAACTCCCAACCTCAGGTAATCCGCCTTCCTCGGACTCCCAAAGTGCTGGGATTATAGGCATGAGCCACCACGCCCGGCCTTAATTGGCCCTTTTAAGAAAACAGTTTTATCAGGTATCTGATAGAGGGAGAAGGGAGAAGGATAATTATTCATGTTCCTCATTTGTAATTTTAAAATATTTCATTTTGGGATGAATACATTTACAGACAATTCTGCTGTAATGTGACATATATATTCCTAAAAATTACCATGCTATGCAAAATCAGGCAATCCAAAACCACGGGGCTTATGAGAAAAATGGGGTTAGGGACATAGCATTCAAAAACTTCCTCAGTGACCCATTAAAAAATCATGGGAAGGTTATCAGGGTGAGTATCCCTTATCAGAAATGCCTGGGACAAGTATTTCAGATTTATTTTTTATTTTTGCATTTTGGAATATTTCTGTTGTACTTACTGGTTGAGCATTCCAAACCTCCAAAAATCCGACATACAAAATGCCCCAATGACCACTTCCTTTGAGCATGATGTTGTCACTCAGAAAGTTTTGGATTTCAGAATTTTGGATTAGAGTTCCTGTCAAAATGGTAAAACATCAACATGTATTACATGCCCCCCAAAAATTGGCTGGGCGCAGTGGCTCACGTCCGTAATCCCAGCACTTTGGAAGCCTGGGGTGAGCTGATCACTTGAGGTCAGGAGTTCGAAACCAGCCTTGATAACATGGCAAAACCCCGTCTCTACTAAAAATACAAAAATGAGCCAGGTGTGGTGGTGTGCACCTATAATCCCAGCTACCTGGAAGTCTGAGGCAGGACAGTCACTTGAACCTGGGAGGCAGAGGTTGCAGTGAGTGGAGATGGGGCCATTGCACTCCAGCCTGGGCAACAAGAGCAAAACTCGGTCTCAAAAAAAAAAAAAATTACATAAATACTACAGCAAAGATGGCACTTTCCATTGAAAAAATGCCTGAGCTTTAGGGTTCTCTAAAATGACGTGGAAAGTTGTGACACCATAGGTGAATGAGTGTGGCTCATTGTCTTCAAGGTGTATACATGTGTATGTTTGTGTATTTCTAAGTGGCTCCATTTGGCTGGGTGCAGTGCAGTTTTCTGCAGTCTCAGGATAAGAGGTTGTACATAAGAAAATACGAAATACATGCTATGCTCAAATTGTTCCAAGTAATATCAATCATTGGAACAAATTGGCCTTTTCAAAACATTGCAGAGCTGACCATCTTCCTGGTTTGGACGCAGAGCTCTGCGAAGGATGTGCCTGAGCACATGGCACTATTTTATGTTTCTTCTGATCAAAGGAATATACCAGGGATGGGCTGGCTCTCTCTCTCATGTTGGACATCGAGAATTCTCTACCTGGAAATATAGAAAATTCCAGACGTGTAATTTTCCAAAACTTAGCTGCTATTTATTCTTTCTCCAGAAGCTACGCGAGGATGCCAAAACAAGGAAGTATACCAAGAAAGAGGATACAGAAAATGGGAAATGGAGTCCAGGAGAGGGGGTAGGGAATCCCCAGATGGCAGCTGTGCACAGGCAGAGAGATAACCCAGACCTGCCACCCCGGGGAGGGACGCCTGCAAGACGATGAAATGCAGATGGGACTTGAGGCCTCTGACCTTGGGAGATTTTGATTGTTAGTGAAGGGTTTAGGGTGGAATCTGGATTCAGGATTCAGAAAACTTAGCAGATAAAAAGGTAAGAGAATGACCTCCAGGGAAAATAAAAAGAAAAGATGTGTATGAAAATAAAATATAAACATTTGTTTAAGTTTACTGCATGGCAGAGCTCTGAGCAGCAGCCTTTATGCAGTTAAAAATGTAAAGTCAATCTTTAATGTGAATATTGATCTATATTGGGATGATGGCGAGATGGGAAATTTGCATTCCACGTGATAGAACTGAGTCAAAATAGAGTTCAGTCCTCATCTTCCACAGTGAGAAGTCAATACACTTTGCCTAAAATAACAACTCAAGACACAGCAATACACACGTATTAGCTACACTTGAAAGAAAATATCTAAAAATCATATCAAAAATTAAAATTGGTGGCCTCTGGGCTGTTTCTCTAAGTCTTACAGAATGGTTTGCGTTTTTTTAAGCAATGTGACTGTTTAACTTTAATAAAAATAAAAAACTAAAACTAAATATGGTATTTTGCAGAAAAGAGTTAACATAGCAGACCTAAGACTCAGGCCTGTTTGCCAGGTTGGCCCTTGGCTGGCCTCTGGGAGCTTAGATTTTGCAAGGGTACCCACCATTTCCCGGTAAGAATGGCTCACTGCATAAACTGGTAAAAAAATTGATAAACAATGTGGTTCATGTTGAACGCCTGTGAGTCTGACATTTTGGTATGTGCTAGGCAGAGGGTGCTTATAAGACCAGCCCACAATAAAAACTCAGGGACTTTAGTCTCTAAGCAGCTTCCCTGGTCAAGAGCCCTTCACATGTGTGGTTATAGCTCACTACTGGGGCATTAAACTCTACCTCTGACTCCTCTTGGGGAGGACTCTTGGAAGCTTGCACCCTGTTTCCCCCAACTTCACCCCATGCACCTTTTCCCTTTGCTGAGTTTGCTCTGTGTCCTTTCCCTGCAATAAATCATAGCCATGAGTACAACTATTATGCTAAGTCCTCTAAGTCATCCTGGTGATCATCAAACCTGGGGGAGGTCTCAGAAACACCCAAGATGCAAATATGCTTCAATATTAACCAATGGCAGTTCTCTTTTCCTAGCGTGGAGATTGGTGAAAGTGTAAGAGGGGAAGATGTCTACATCATCCAGAGCGGCTATGGGGAAATTAACGACAACCTGATGGAGCTCCTCATCATGATCAATGCCTGCAAGATTGCGTCATCATCCAGGGTGACTGCCGTGATCCCGTGTTTCCCATACGCCCGACAAGATAAAAAAGACAAGGTAGGAGATGTGTGTCCTACTCTAGAAGCCTGTTCTGGGCCACTGTCAATATTTTTTTTTTCCTCATTTATTCCCTTGATTAGAATTATCTGGAAAATGTTGACTTTTTCCTCTAATGATCAAGTAGATATACTTCCTCATTTTGTTTGTTAAAGATTTGACTTTGAACCTACCCTGACATTAATATTCAAAGAAACAGGTAAAGCATATTTTTGCAGGTATTAAAATACCATTATTGTCCTTATTATAATGAAATTGTTGTCTTTGTAGTGGTGGATAGAAGTAAATACACACACAAACGCGCACAAGAGTACAAGTCAAACTGGAGAACATCTGAATCAGATCACTGGATTGTATCAGTTTCAGGGTCCTGGCTGTGATACTGTGTTACAGTTTTACAAGATGTTACCACAGGGAACTAGGTAAAAGGTTCACAGGATCTCTGCATTGTTTCATACAACTGCATGTCAATCTACATGCAGTTGTATGAAAATAAATTCCCCCAGATTAAAAAGTTTAATTTAAAAACAAACAAACTGTGATCTCTTTTTAGCCTTTAAAAGAGAACAGAAATAGTATCATCGAATTATGATTTTTACGTTAGCATCGAAGGAGGCTATGTGAATAAATTCCCCCAAAATCAAAAGTTTAATTAAAAAAAAGATCTTTTTTTAACCTTTTAAAAAGAAAAGAAACAGTATCATTGAATTATGATTTTCACAACATTAGCATCAGAGGAGGCTCTGTGAGTCTTTAAAAAAATGAAGAAAATGTGATTGGTCTTTGACTTTGAGAGCATCAGAGAAATCGGAGGTTGAGAAGAACATTGAAGGAGATTGTATTAGTTTTCTAGGGCTGTCATAAGAAATTACACAAACCAAGTGGCTTAAAAGAGCAGAAATTTTTCCCTCACAGTCTTGGAGGCTCAAAAGTGTGAATTCAAGGAATGGGCAGAGCCACGCTCCTTCCGAAGGCTGTAAGGCAGGATGCATTCTCACCTCTTCCAACTTCTGGTGTCTCCTTGCATTCCTTGGCTTGTGGCTGCATCACTCTGGTCTCTGCCTCTGTTTTCACCTGGTCTCTTCCCTGTGTCTCTTTGTTTCTTATTAAGGACACTGTCATTGGATTTCAGGCCCAACCTAATCCAGAATGAACTCAACTTAATCTTTACCTTGGTTATATTTGCAAAGACCGTATTTCCAAAATGAGGTCACATGCTGAAGCTGTGGGTGGACATGAGTTTTGGGGGGATATTGTTTGACCTATTACAGTGGTCAACTCCCAGCTGTTGTCTGCTCCATATCTTACGATGTTCAGCCAGGCTCAGTGAGAATCCTGCCAGTTTGCAAGACACGCTGCTACTCTGTGATTTGGTAACTCAGTGCAAGAAAGGTTTTCCCCAACACGCTGCTATTTATCTCCGTGGTTCATTTCTGAAACAACACAGATTTCTGAAGCACCACAAGATCCCCTCATATTTGAAAGAAATCCTTTATAAATTTGAATTCATATACCAAAGTCCCCCTGAATATTAATCCCAGCCTCCTCAAGACATGGTTTCTTTTCCGTGTCTTGAAGGTGGCTCGTCAGTTAATTTCTCACCTAAAATCTGATCAGAAGGGTCCATATACTTTATCTGTAAATGGCTATATGGTCTCTGTTGCAACGATTCAACTCTGGTTATACTTCGAAAAGAGCAACAGACAATATGTAAGTAAATGGATATGGCTGTGTTCCAGTAAAACTTTATGGGCACTGAAATGTGAATTTCATATCATTTTCACATGCCTTGAGCATTTATTTTGAGTTTTTTTCAACCATTTAAACATGTGAAAGCTGTTATTAGCTCACAAGTAGTACCAAAACAAGTGGCTGGTGGCTAGCTTGATTTGGCCTGTAGGGCACAGTTTGCCAACCCCTGTATTACAGCATTGATTGTGTGTGTGTGTGCACGCGTGCACTTATAGTCTAAACTTGACCTAGGGCAACCAAAACCTTAGGTCACATACCTTGCCGTGAAGCTATGTCCTCCCACTTGCTATTTATATAGCTCCTTTTATTTTAAACTTGATTCTAGAGTTTATGTGTATTTTTAGCTGTTAAATTTCAATTTTCTAATTTTGTCCCATTGGTATAATCTGTTGTCCTAGCTATTCCTCCCATCTGTGTGTTTCCACAGATTTTTCAGCATCTTTCTCCTTGTCCATGTCATAGAAGAGCTAATTTTCTGCCATTATTTCTTCCTTCTTTGTGGTTTAGTAAATTCTCACAT